TATCTTTCAACATAACAAACGCGCCTTTACTAAACCTTACAACAATTTGTTGGATCAAAAATCAAATTGAAGTAACCAGCCGTCCAAATTCCAGGGGTTCTAATATCCAGAAACAAAATAATTTATTTTTTCTCTTCTTTTTTTTCCCTCAAATTTATTCACATTTGTTGTAAAATGATCATATCGCTTTGACATTTGAATCCCTAACCATGTTTTATGAATCAAAACCAAAACTTTGTAAGACTATTTTTTTTTGTATGTTATTTTCTTCCAAGTGTTTCTTTATTTAACTTTTTGATTGAGCCAATATTTGATTTTCCCTTAATTTCATCTTTCTATATTTGTTTTCATTTTTTTCTATTTTCTTTTTTATATACATATTTTTCAAGTTGCCTGAGTCGGCCTAGCAGACTGGTGCCTCACAGGTAGCAAGTTTGGGTTTTTTAAAAGCTGGCACATAGTGAGCTTGATGTGTCCAAAATGCATGACAATTCCTATTTAGTTTTATAGGGTTGTTATGAACCCCTTCCTTGTGGAACCGAAAGTCCCAAGTACTGGTATCTCACCCAAGATCGTGTACATGATTGGGTAAAAGCGAAGTAGATGAATACAACTATAAATCGAGTACAAAAAATAAAACAAACATAAAAACAAAAGACATACCACCACAACAAACGCTTTACATAGTTCACCCCGTAGGGCTATGTCCACGGCCTCATAATGTCGAAATCCACTATCACAATGAAGATTACATTTTTGGGTTACAAGAGAAATACCTCTCTAAACATCGGTAAAAGGCCATTACCAATTTTTCCTTCTAAATCCGCTCTCCCGACCGAGTAATATCGTCCATCAATATCTTATTTATCACCGCAATACCGTTACCGGAAAGATAACAGCGAAAGCAACCGAGAGATTTTCTCTCTTTAGAAGTGGAAGCCTTACTAACCCAAAACTCATGGGAATGTCACTTCTCTCTCTCGGAGGTCATATCTCTCTCTCTTGGAGACCAATCTCTATCTTTGGAGATCCATTCTTATAACCACTAAAGAGGTGACCCTCAAAAGGATGGGTATCATGTATTCATTCATTCTTTTATATAGATATTATTTTCTTTCTTCTAAAAAAAAATCCCTTTTCTTTTTCTATAATACCCTCAATTTTTAATATAAATGTAAGAGTGGTGATTTTGATTATCACCAAAGCTAACAAATTTGAGTAAATATAAACTGCTACTTTTTTGTGACCTAATATACTCAAGCGTTGATTTTGTTAGCCTATAATAATTAGATATTAACATTTGAGAAATATATTTATTAATAGACCTCATAGATGAGGCATTTGCAATACTAAAAATGCTCAACTACAAGACATAAGATAAAGAAGCCATTGATCACTTTTCCTTGTGCTTCACAAGACAAGAAGGTTCATTCATTTAGATAGGGCATAATTTATGAGAAATATTGGAAATGACTCTTACCGACACATCCATTGAAAACCCGTGCCCAAAAGCTAAGTGATGAGTCACACTTTTATTTATATGGGGTCATATAGCATGATGACACTTCCATTGATTTAACTAGGTTTTATTTATAGTAGATGATGGACCTTCACTTCAAATTCAATTGGCATTCATACCCTAAATATAAATTCTTAAAATCTCCATAAGAATCAATTCTTTACAAGAAACCAATCTTTCACTGTGCATCAGTTTTTAGGACGCATCATCAATATTTCTCTTCATATGATGCTCTCTTCTCCAAGATAAAATTGCATTTTATACACATGAGGCTATATATCTCTTTCGAGAGGAAGCACCATTTAAGAGGCATCATCAATATTTCTCTTCATAAGATGCTCTCTTCTCTAAAAAGAAATTGCATCTTATGCACACAATGCTCTATCTCCCTCTCTCTTTAGAGGAACCATTATTCTTATATAATGATCCAAATAGGGCACACAAATATAAGATTAGAAGTCCATCCTAAATAGGAAACTTCCTATTAATGTTACATATATCTCAAAAGACTAAGAGATATATCCAAGAGTCTTAATCCTTTTTAGATTTTTATTTCCCTTTAGAAACTTATCAATATCATTCTCAATCCCACATAATATGGGAATATCTCAATCCTATATGGATCAATCTCAATCAATCCTACAAAATATGAGATTTACTTATGTTGGTGATTGTGCATAGTACCAAATCCAACATAATTATAGGTGTAGTTGTAGGTGTCGTGACATATGCAATGTAAATGTGAAGTATCGGATTCCTTTTTGTTGCACTTATAATTTTTGCACCAGCGGAGGCAGTGGTCCCTAGCATCCGAGCAACTGCAAGTTGGGGAACATGCATTATGGGGACATGACCTAATGCAGGTCCCAGAATTGCAGCATGGGCTGCAAGTGTCACCTGCCAAAAAAGAAAAAAAAAAACGAAGAAAGAAGATAAAATGGAAG